CTTGCTATGTGACTTTCTAGATATGTTAATAATTTCTCCTACAGGCTTTCCAGCCGCATGCCCCATGCCTAACCCTGGTTGTGACTCGTAGTCTTTCTAAGCTTCTGTTCTGTTATCCCAGTGTGTCTGCTCTGGCTCATTTCCTCTGCCTGGGTAACTTCCTACCTTTTCTATACGTGGTAGCAGTCTTTCGAGTCCTTGCCCTGCTTCTTGTTGCCTTTAAGCAAAACTGTAGCCTGGATGTCTCTTGCTGACTTCCTTTTTTCTCCCTAATGCTTACCTTTCCCTAACTCCTCCTGCGTCCTTATCACTGTCATCACTAGGGAAGGTATAATCATAAAGCCTGCCCTGGAAAGTGCCCGGCCTTTAACCCAGGTTGTTTCCCAGCCCCACAGCCCCTCTTGTGCTACTGTGAAATCACACAGCTTGTATTATTATTCACACTTCTGTTTTTCCAGAGAAATGTCTGGCCAGTTCTGTCTGAGGTGCAGTAACCTGAAAAGTAGTTGCTACTCGTCTTCATATCTTCAAAGATGTCTCTTAAATTATTTCGTTCCTCTGGACAAAAAGAAAAATCCTAGTCTCCCAAGGATAAATAGTCATACATCACTTGGTAACAGGAACATTGTATAGTGTACTTACATAAACCTAGATGGTTGACCAACCCCTGTGGCTTCTTTATGCAATCAGCAGACATGGTGCATGCAGTATGGATGAGGCTGCTGTCCCCATAAGACTGTGTTGTGTTCGCCAGTAAACGTTTATTTTATTTTATTTATTGTTTGGAGACATAGACTTGCTGTGTAGATCAGACTTGCCTTGAATTCACTGTGAAGACTAGTCTGGCTTTGAATTCCCAGTGACTCTCCTGCCTCAGCCTCCTGAGTACTGGGATTACAGGTGTGCACTGCAAGTATGCATACTTTCTATAGGTATGCAGCTTTTGTATAGGTATGCATACCTTTCTGTAGGTATGCAGCTTTTCTTTCTAGTAAGTAAAAGGTATATATTCTAAAATAATAATAAAAAGTATGGAATTATAAGCGCAGTAAGCTGGTAGCATAGTCATTTATCAACTACTGTGTACTGTACATAGTATCAAGTACTGTGTACTGTGCATACTGGTACGTGGTGTCCTTTCTTTACTGCTGGCAGTGTGGTGTGCACCAGCACGCCACGGACATACAGGTAATGTGTTGCGCTATGGTACAATGCTGTGATAGGGATTTTCCAGCTCTGTTATAATCTTATGGAGTCATCATTGTATATGTGGTCTGTTTTTGACTGAAATGGTGTTCTGCAGTGGATGGCTGAAGTTCAGTGTAGAGTTTTGAAAAGTTGTGAAAATTTTAGGTGAAGGATTAGTGTACAGAGTGACTAATGTCCTGGTAATCAAGAAGTAAAGACTGTACATTTAGAAGATTAGAATTTCTGTTTACTGTAATGAGAAAAACCATAGGAGGGCCAGGGATATAGCTCAGTGGTACCAGTGCCTGCCTGGCAAGCACAAGGTCCTGAGTTCTATTCCTAATACAAAAAAAAAAAAAAAAAAAAAAAAAAAAAAATTAAAGAGAGAAACCATAGGGTAACAAATTTGGCAGGGCAGAGATAGGGTAGAGATAGAAAGTCAATTTTGGATGTGGTAAATGTTAGGTGCTTATTAAGCTACCAGATAGATTTGGTTGTTAATGTTTCAGTAGTCTCTTTTCATCTCTAGGAATCTTTTCTGTATCTTTTTTTTTTTTTTTTCTGGTACTGGGAATTGAACTCACGACCTTGCGCTTGCCAGGCAGGCGCTGTGCCGCTGAGCTAAATCCCCAGCTCCCTCTGTATCATTTTTAATGACATTAACTCTTTCAAAGAGTTCAGGTCTGTTACCTAGAATGTCTTACTTTCAAATTCATTTCCTAATGACTGCTGAAGATGAAATATGCTTTTGAGGAAAGAAGACAACATACATGACATTGTATATATTTTATTGCATGACGTTAGGAAGAATTACCAGATGTCACACTGTTGATTGTTAATTTAAAGAAGTATTTCTTTTTTGGAGATTGAACCCAGGACCTCACCTGTGCTAGGCAGGTCCTTTACTACTGTGCTACACCCTCAGCCCTTTCAATTTTCTTGTTTTACTTTTTTATGCAGTTAAAAATTTTTTATTAGTACATGGTTGCAGTACATAATGATTACATTCATTATGAGGATGTGTTGGTAAGTTTTATCATTTGGCTAAGTTCAGACTGTTCACTGCAAAAGCCTATTTTATGATTTATAACTCCTAAGTAATGTGGCACAGGGTGGGGATGTGGTAGGACTCCAAATAACTTTGGATGCAATTTCAGTTCTCTTTGTCCATACAGTTCTATAAACTTAAAGCCAGTTCTGTCATTCTAACCATTTTACCAAAGTTGTTTTTCATATAATCAGAAATTTAAAAAGATAGCTCTACAGAAATGAAGTTGAAGCCGGTGAGGGCTCTGTGGCCCTTAGGAAGTGTTTGTCCGTGTTCAGAGGGTGCCGCACACAGTCACGAGATGGAAGACAAGTGTTCCTTATGCCTAGTGTGGAAATGTTACGCTTCTAAAGTGTGAGCAGCTTTATGTTCTCAGCCTTCTTCAAGGAATCTTATTTATAGTTAATTTTTTTTATTTTGTAGATTTAAATGTAACACTGGATATTTATGTCCTTCTAAGGTAAGTTTTTAATTTTTATTTTGAAAACATTATTGTTTTAAATGTTATTCAAGTAGTTTGCCTAGAAAGTAGGTTTTAGTTGCTGAAACTGCATCCGTAATTATTTATCACCTTGTACGTTTTTGATGGAGAAGAAGCTCATCCTCGGGAAAGTGATCATTTCTACCAGTACAGTGTACTGTGCTCAGACTTGGGTGCTGTGACAGACTGGTAGGCTGTCATGGACTCTTGAGTTTACACATTTTTTGGTAAGTCTCAGTTTGCTTTAAAATTTGCACCCTTGAGCATTTGGTTCAATGTATTAGTTTTTGAGAACTGATGTGACAAAGTACAGGTTGGGTAACCCCTTTATGAAAGCTTGGGACCAGAAATATTTTAGAGTTGATTTTTTTTCAGATTTTTGAATATTTATATATATGTGTGATGTCTTGGGAAAAGGACCCAGATCTGAGTGTGAAATTCATTTACCCTTCGTGTACACTTGTATACATAATCTGAAGGTAATTTTATGTAGTATTTTTAGTATGCCTGCATTTTGAGTGACCCATCACGTAAGGTCACATGTGGAATTTTCCACTTCTAGAATCAAGGCAGTGCTCAAGAAGTTTCAGATTTTGGAGCATTTTGGATTTTCGAATTAGGGATGCAAAACCTGTACTGCTAACAACAGCATGGCTTCAAACAGCAGAAATTCCTTCTCTCAAAGCTCTGTAGACTGGAGGTCCAAAATCAAAGTGTGGCAGGCAGAGTGTGCCTGCTGAGGACTCTAGGGGACACCCTGTTCTTTCATCTTTCTAGCTTCTGGGTTTTGCCAGTAGTTGGCATCTATTGCCAGTTTCTCCTTCTGTCTTTGCATGGTCTTTCTCACTGCGTTCTTTGTCTCCAAATCTTTCTCCTATAGACACCAATCACTGGATTTGGGGCCCTAACCAAATATGATCTCAAAACTCCTATTTCCCTATAAGAGCACATTCATAGGTCCTAGGTTTAGTATTTGAGCATATCTTGGGGATGCATTTCATATATGTTTTTTTCTGTTCTTTTTTGTTGTTGTTGTTGTTGTTGTTTGTTTTTTGGGACAGGGCCTTGCTATGTAGTTCAGTCTGGCTTTGAACTCACTATGAAATATAGGCTGGTCTCAAACTCAGGGCAATTCTCTTGCCTCAGCCTCCTGAGTGCTGTGATTATAGGCATGCACCACCATGCCTGGCCCAGTAATTTTTTTTAGTGTTTCTAATGTAAAAGACTGGTTGTATGTTTGCATTTGTGAAATTCAGTCTAAAAAAGAAGTAGAGGTAACAGAAAAATTTGTTAAATACATTTTTTCTTTTAATCTTGTGTATGTTTTGCCTTGTAATTACAATGCTGTTCTTTTTAAATTTTATGTTAATAAATTAGTTTAGTTGGAGAATTTAGTTTTTTTAAGCTCACTGATATTTTCAGTCTTTTGGAAAGTAGAATAAAGTATTAACACAAGATCATTGAAGTTTAACTCCAACTTCGGAAGATGTCTTAGGTGATACGCCTAGTGGAACTAGCTCAGGGCCTGGCTTTTGGTATTGGTGGTATGTATGAGTGATTATTATTGAGCCTTTCTGAGAAATTGAAGATGGTCATAAAAATTAGAGAGTTTAATTCTTATTTTTTATTTCATCTTCCCTTTGTTATTAATGTATGTTTGTGATACATAATACATTCATCTTGGGGAATTGGTATGTACACATACAGCATCTTGATCCTTTTTACTTCCCCTTTTTCCTGTTTCTCCCCATCTTATTTTTGATTAGTACATTGGCTAGTTAGTGAGTTTACTACTCCAGTCATTAGTTTTATTTATTTCTTTATTTTGGTCATTTTGAGACAGGGTCTCTCTATGCAGTTCAGGCTGGCCTTGAGCTCACTTTGTAGCCCAGGTTGGTCTGGAACTCGCAATGATCCTCCTGTGTCAGCCTCCCCAGTGCTGAGATTACAGGCGTGCGCCACTGCGCCCGGCTCAGTTATTAGTTTTAGTTTGGATCATAAATACAGAAAACTATGGATAGGATGGGAGTGTTTTTAATGTAGGGTAATACATGTGATATTAGATACAGATTAACTTTCTAGGCTTGAGATTTGAAGGTATTGATCTCTAAATGGGCTGTGTATGTAGCAGTTGTTTGTGAATAAATACCAAATCCAGATTACATTAACTTTGTCTTTCTTCTTTTTCTCCACTTAAATAAACTAGCTGTGTTAATGCAGGAAGCCATAAAGCCATAATGTGGCATACCATTCTTTCTGAGAGGTGAATATTTCTGAATAAAGATGGCAGACAGAGGTGGGAAGATTGTTCCAGGACAAGTGTATATTGAAGTGGAGTATGATTATGAATATGAAACAAAGGACAGAAAGGTCGTGATCAAACAAGGGGAACGGTATATCTTGGTGAAAAAGACCAATGATGACTGGTGGCAAGTCAAACTGGATGAGAACTCCAAAGCATTTTACGTGCCAGCCCAGTATGTTAAGGAAGTCACCCGCAAAGCTCTAATGCCGCCTCTTAAGCAGGCAGTTGGACTGCCAAATAGTTCTATGAAAACGATCCAGAGTCTGCATCTTCAGAGATCAACAGAAAATGTGAACAAATTGCCTGAACTTTCAAGTTTTGGAAAGCCCTCATCGTCTGTTCAAGGAACAGGTGTTATTCGTGATGCCAATCAGAATTTTGGACCCAATTATCATCCAGGTCAAACTCTGAACCTAAGCCTGGACCTGACCCATAACAACGGAAAGTTTAATAGTGACTCACATTCTCCTAAAGTTTCCAGCCAGAATAGGACACGCTTATTTGGTCACTTTCCTGGTCAGGAGTTCTTGGACATAGAGAAAACTAGCTTCTCACAGGAGCAGTCTTGTGATTCAGCAGGAGAAAGCTTAGAGAGGATACATCAGGACTCTGAATCTGGAGATGAGCTCAGCAGCAGCTCCACCGAACAGATAAGGGTAAGAGTAAAAATAGTGATGAAACACCTCTACTACCTTAGTAACAACTGATTATATGTTTTCTATTAATGAAAATCCTTGGGAGAGTTAAAATCTGTTTTGCTTTATATTTTCAGAATACATGGATTCTGTCAGGCTTTACAGAGCTAGAAGATGCGTAAAATAACTTGGGAAATTCATAAAGGGTCACTTTGGTTTTTATAATCTTTGTGCTTTTATAGGGATAGAGCTACTTTAAATGTGGAAGTTAATTTTTATCTCTTGGTTATACATAAAACAGAAAGAATTTAATTTGTGCAGTGATATTTCTTTTTTCTTTTTGGTACTGGGAATCAAACTCAGAACCTTGTGCTTGCAAGGCAGACACTTGTACCACTGAGCTATATTCCCAGCCCTAGTGATACTTCTTTTAACAGAAAAAATTTTACTGTTCTCAGGCAGTACTCATTTTGACTTCTTCTCAGTACTTCAATTAATAATGGATATCTGAGGAAAGATGTCACTGGAATATTAACTTCTGCTCAGTGTACCTTTTTTGTTAACCTTGAATACCAAGGCCAGCAAGAGCTAATACATTTCTGTTTCCATTAATATGTTTTTCTGTCCTAAGTATGTGTCTATTCTTAAGTGGTTGCACTGACCTTTAGTATAGAAAAATTTTTGTGGTTTGTTCCCCCACTTCATTTTTTTCTGCGATTAAGTCTATGCCAGCTTATTTCTAAAGGGAAGTAAAGTCATCTTAAAAGCACATATATAGACTTTTTCTCTGCAGTGCTGGAGATTGAGCTCTTGCCTCACAATGACCAGGAAAGTGCTTTACCACTGAGCTATTTCTCAGCCTGGGAAAAATTACTTAACCTCTGTGTGTTACGGCTGAGTTCATGTTAAAATAGGGATCACACAGTTAAGTGAATTAGGTGTCCTTTGCTGTTTTTTCCTGTACTGGAGCTTGAACCCGGGGCCTTCACACTGAGCTATATTCTCAGTGCTTTTTTAAAAAATACTTTTAAATTTTTTTTTTTTAAATAAAACATTAACAGACAGACATCCATTTACAAAATAGCATAAGAATAATACAAACAAAACAGAGTTACAGACAAAGTTGTAGGAAATTAACCATGATTGTTGTATTTCTTATTGATAATTTCCAAGTGGTTTCTCAGGAAAAAAATATAGATATACAAAAGAGATACACAATTTTCAGTCTTTGGCAGGTGGCAAGGCAGTTTTTCCAGCACCATTTATTAAAGAGGCTATCGTTCTTCCAGTGAGTTTGTTTGGCCCCTTTATCAAAAATTAGGTGGCTGAGTGTGTTTGTGGTTGTGTTTGTGTCCTCCAGTCTGTTCCACTGATCCTCCAGTCTGTTTTTTATCCAGTACCATGTTGATTTTATTACAGTAGCTTTGTAGTATAATTTCAGGTCAGGGATTATAA